CCCCCCCCCCCCCTCCTCTGCCACCTTTTTGTCATCCACCCCCTCGCGCTCGCACAACCTCCTCTCGCCCCTCTGCCACCATTTCCCCCTTCCCCTCCCCTCGCAGGACCTCCTGCCCCTTGATCGACCTCTTTCTCCCCATAGCCCGAACGCCTCCCCCCCCTCGCKCGACCTCCTCTTCCCCGCACACGACCTCCTCCCCCTTGCGCGACCTCCTTCTCACCCTTGCACGACCTCCTTCCGCGACCTCCTCCTCCTCGCGCGACCCTTTCCCGCGACCTCCTCCGCCGCCTCGCGCGACCTCCTCCTCCCCCTCGTGCGACCTCGTTTTTGATTGATTGATGAAGTCCTCCTCCCCCTCGCGCGACCTCCTCCTCCCCCTTGCAGGACCTCGTCCTCCTCGTACGACCTCGTTTTGGATTGATTGATTGATTCCTCCTCCCCCTCGCGCGCCCTCCTGCTCCCCCTGGCGCGTCCTCCTTCTCCCGCTCGAGCGACGTCCTCCTCCCCTCGTGCTACCTCCCTTCCCCTCGCGCGAACACCTCCTCCTCCCCCCCCTCCTGCTCCACCATGACGTCCTCCTTCCGCTCCTCGTCTGCCGCCTTTTGGCCCTCCTCCGACCTCCTCATGCCCCTCCGCCACCTTCTCGTCCCCCTGCCCCTCGCTCGCGCAATCCCCCTCCTGCCCCTCGCTGTACCTCCCCCTCCCCCTCGCTCGCGCAATCCTCCTCCTGCCCTCCGCTGTACCTCCCCCTCGCTCTCGCAATCCCCCTCCTGCCCCTCGCTGTACCTCCTCCTCCACCGCGCGCGACCTCGTCCTTGGGGGGGAGTGACACCTGACGCGCCTGTCCAGGTGATCGGCGTGCGCGCCTGATGTCATCTCTCCCTGGCGCGTTTCGTCTTGGGCGCGCCGAAGCATACACCCCAGTCGAGTTGCGGATTGGATTGAGCGCCTGAACCTGGACCTGTTTAATGTAGTTATGCGCATCTCCTCAATCACGTCCAGACTCAGGCGCTTAGCTGCCCCAAATGAAAACCCGCCGCAACGGAAAACGACAACGAAAAAAGAATTAAAAA